TCATGACATTGCCCTCATTTCATCTCCGACTCACAGATGAGGCAGCTTAAAGTTACAGTAACTTTAGCTGTTCTCTATAAAAGCAGTGTTTCCCTTTTCTTGTCTTGATCCAATTTTGGCCAACAGAACAATCTAGCACATTCCTTGTCAATGGGGACTGATGACAGAACTATGATAGGATCTGTCCAATAGCTGTGGTCTTCTGGCAGTTGTCCCCCAGAGCCATTTTGACTGGGGCAAGTTTCCTCAAAGTCACCTACCTGTGGAATACCTGACTTTCTAAAGCCCTGGTTAGACCTTACGTAGTAGGTTCCTTAAATACATGGGCATAGCTGTCTTTTGAAAGGGTGTCAGATCTGCTTTTTTTACAATATTGAAAAAAAGCTGCACAGAAAGTCACCTTATAGTAGGAAAGAAAAACAGGTTTTCCCAGTTGTGTGCTGCTGGTTCGGTCACCACGGTATGCATTGCAGGTTTTCTCCTGCCTCTGACAATAAGAGGCTTCATGTGGCCATTCTCTACCGCTTTTAATCCTGTTGTAGTGGTGATCCCATTTTGCCTACCCCATGGACTACTTCTGTGTGCCGATAGCTGCAATCCCTTGCTATCCGCACTGCCATTCCTTTGCAACAGTGGCCAAGGACTGAGCCTGCTCATGGTTGATTCATGGTCCTTCTTTACCCTGCACATTTTTCCATGCTTGGTAGCCTGACTGACACCTCACAGGTAGGGAGGAAAGACTTGGGTTGAAGCAGTGCATTTTAGTTCAGAAACAGCCCAAGTGACAACTTGCAGTCTAGGCAAAAAAACACTTTTACTCCCATGAATTAGGCAACTTATTTTAAGAAGTGTCTGGTCCTTTCTGAGCTGCTGTTCTTGATTCTCTAATAAATGCTGTCAGTTGTAACTTGATTTAGATTTAGATTTATTTTATAACTCTAAAAAGCCACTATAACGACTAGTTCTTTGCCTAGAGACCAGTGATGGTGAACCTTTTTGGCATTGAGTGCCCAAATTGCAATGCACACATATCCATGTGCCGGAGCAGTAGGAAAGACCAGCTGGCTGGTGCGCATGTGCATGCTGGAAACCAGAATACCAACTGGCGATAGTGCGTGTGCCTACAGAGTGGGCTCTGCATGCCACCTCTGGCACACATGCCATAAGTTTGCCCTCATGGGCCTAGACTGTGCAGACACGGTGTCCTTGGCAAACATATTTGCTTGATTTAAACAAGGTTACTGGAAACTATTATTTTAAAAAAGGAGTCTATCCTTCTCTAAAGATGCAAAATACCTGAAAATTTCCCTGTGAGTGCTCAAGTAATTAATAATAATCACTGTATTCTGAAATACACAACAGCTATCTTGTAACACACACTTCTTCAGGGCTCAAAATCCTTTTACTCGCCCTTCTGGCAAAGTTAATTCCCAGGTGTGATGGGGGAATCACTTCTCTATTAACATAGGTAGGTTGTAATAGATTTTTCTAGTCCGCAGCCTTTGCTCTGATTGCAAAACTAAATATGGGTTGAAAGCACAGCTGCTTGAAAGGAAGACATTAACGGGCAAAGAAAGTATCATTGAAGCATTGGTGTGGGGTTTTCCCTTCCCTGTTGCTGATTTGGCAAGAGCTTTAAATATTTTAAGGAAGCAAAGTTAAAAACTGCATTTAACAGAAACGCTAAAAAGTATCAGCTTTAAACAGATGAAAAATCACCTATGAACTGCAGTGTTCCTCATTTGGAGAAAGAGAGAGCCTTCTTTTCCAGGAAACAACTGATGAAATATAATGCTGGTTTTTCTTTTCTTTTCTTTACAAAGTCCTCTCATCCAGAAAAAAAAAACATTGAACTAGACTGTCATGCTGTGTCCAATTTAGAGGAGAGAGTTATCGTATGGCCTTTTCTGTACAGGGAGGTGAACGGTTGTGCAAGATTGCAGCTGAAACCAAGTATGTTACAAGTCTGATGATTTGTGATTTCTATAGCCCCCTCTTCTGTCTGTCACCTTTGAAATGTTTGATCAGAGGGTCAAATTTGCACTGTTAAAAGGGTCATCTTACAGGTAGTCCTCGACTTACAACAGTTCATTTAAGTGACCGTTCGAAGTTACAATGTCACTGGGGAAAAAAATGACTTGTGACTGTTTTTCACACTTACAACCGTTGCAGCATCCCCGTGGACACATCGTCATAAATAAGTCCCTTGGCAACTGGTTCATCTTTATGACGGTTGCAGTCTCCTGGGGTCATGTAGTCCCCTTTTGCGACCTGACAAGCGAAGTCAATGGGAAAGCCAGATTCACTAAACCAAACCATGTTACTAACTTTAACAACTGCAGTGATTCACTTGACAATAGTGGCAAGAAAGGTCATAAAATGGGGCAAAATTCACTTCATAAATGTCTCGCTTGGCAACAAAAATAATGGGCTCAATTGTGGTTGTAAGTCGAGCACTACTTACATTACGGTGATGAACTAAGACCAAAAAAATGCTTTCTCATTGTAACAAGGTGTGGCAGAAGCCTTGTTTTGCTGGGCAGTTTCGGTAACAAAGCTGGCAGGGAACATTTTTTTAACCCGTCACTGAGGCCTTCTGTCTATCAAGCTGTTTTATTTCTCAGACATGGAAAAGGACTAATATTTACTTAGCTAGCCTACCCATCAACGCTTTCATACACTCTCTTTCACACTAAGGGTGCCATGCTGGGTGATTGGTTGGGGTTGGGGTTGGGATTAACATGCTCCTGCTGTCTTTTAAAGTTTTCATTTGTTCCTTTTAGCTTTGTTTTAATCTGGTTTTTACCTTGTTTTTAACTATAGTTTTCATATCATTTTACTGTTTTATCGTAAACTGTGCAGAGGCAGATAATTGTAATGGGCAAATTTGTTAGAGATGGAGATGATAGATAGAGTAGATAGATAGATAGATAGATAGATAGATAGATAGATAGATAGATAGATACCGTGTTTCTCCAACAATACTCCCCTCCAATAGGAAGACCCAGCATGTTTTCTAGGCATAAAATGAAATTAAGCCCCTCCCCCCAAATTTATGCCTAGTTTAAAACATGCAAAATTGGGGGGAGAAGGCGGGGGGAACTAGCCATTAGGAGTGCCCCACAGGCAGCTACACCTCACCATCAGCCACTCCTAACAACCAATCATGGTGGAGCACAGAGGGCTCCCTTACCCCTCCCTTACCCGGGTCAGCAGGCAGGCGGCATTGGCATGGATGTCTGGCAGCGTTTCAGCCGCTTCTTAGGCCTCCGTAGCTTCCACGGTTTCCACTGGTGCTGGCGCCTCTCTCGCCAGTATCGTCTCCAACAACAACGTCTCAGTCGCTCCTGCTTTTCCCCCATCCCATAACAACAGGGGAAAAAAAAACATTTTGAGGTACCTGGGAGCGCCGCGCGCTGCATTTTGGTTTAATCCCGAGCGGCTGGGTGGGCGTGAGAAGAGCCGAGCAAGCGTCTCTGCTGCTGCTACCCTTGGTGCTCCAGCCTCGGGCTCTGCAAGTTTGCAAAAGTCCTGGTGCGCAGCCCATTCCTGCATTCCAAGCGCCCAGGCCGAGCTTCAGCTGTCCCTCTCTCACCAGCTCTGTCTCCAACTACAGCAGCAGCAGTGGCAGGAACCATGGAAGTGTTTCAGCCACTTCTCGGGTGGGGGAGCCGCCTCCATAACTTCCCGCCGCTGCTGCCGCTGTTGTTGGAGCTGGAGCTGGTGAGAGAGAGACAGCTGCAGCTCAGCCTGGGTGCTTGAAATGCAGGAACGGACTGTGCACCGGGACTTTTGCAAACTTGTAGAGCCCGAGGCTGAAGCACTAAGGGTAGCAGCAGCAGAGATGTTCACTTGGCTCTTCTCACGCCCACCCAGCTGCTTGGGATTAAACCAAAACGCAGCGCATGGCACGCCCAGGTACCTCAAAAAAAAAAAATTCCTGTTGTTACGGGGACGGGGGGGAAGCAGGAGTGACTCAGATGCTGTTGTTGGAGATGGCGCTGGTGCACGGGGGGAGGGAATTAATTCACCCCCAAAAAGACATCCTAGCCATTTTTTCAGGGCTCAAAAAAAAATAAGGCCCAGCCTTATTTTGTGAGAAACACTGTAGAGATAGATAGATAGATAGATAGATAGATAGATAGATAGATAGATAGATAGAT